GGCATTTCCTTGAAATTGGCCAGTTTCCGGACCATAAGGCAACTCCCCCCAAACAAAACAAGCAGTCTCCCACCAAAACCCCAAAGCGCTCCCTGTCCCAAGGGAAGGGAGATGCTGTTTGACACCTGGGTCACTCAGGTCCCATGCTCTCCTTGCCCAACCTGCTGCCAGGGCTGGTAATATACATACCAGTAGCAAAGAGAAGGGGAATGACTTAGAAACCTCTGCCTGGAGCAGAGGAGCTCCTGCACAGTGCACCCCAGATGGCACAAAGTGAACAGTTCCTGCTTCCCATTTGAGACTGGAGCCCCCACAATTCCCTTACAATTGCTCTTACCAAACACTCTACCCACCCCTCACTGGGTGTCCTTTTATTCTGTCTGTAAATAAACTCTGCTTTTGCTTTTGGTAAAGATGTGGCTGTGAATTCTTCTCACACCGTAGTCAAGAACCAAGGTACATCTAATCCAGGAGCCCCCCAAACCTGAGAGCATTACAAATGCTGTGAAAGTAGCCACTCTGACGCTCAAATGTTCCTTGTGGATTGTTCCTGAGATTTGCCTGTGTGTTGGGGGGTGGTGGGCCCATTCTAGCGGGTAGGGGTGCAGGAGGCGGTCATGATTCCAGGAACCTGGATTCTCCCCCAGCTGTGCTTGGGGAACTGCCCTCTTCCCTCCACCCCCCTCACTCACCACCGCAATTTTGCTGTCACTGGGATGAGGGTGTTTGTGGGCTGAGCAATTAGGAAGCACCAGGGAGGGAGAGCTGAGCCCCAGAGATGGGTGTTGTGCACAGAGACCCTGTGCCCAAGCCAGGCCCCACGTGTGAAGCTGACATCTTGACAACAGGGAGAGAGAGGCTGAGACTGGGCCTCTAAAGGGCCTGCTGCTGCTGCTGCTGCTGTGCCAGCCCCTGCTGGATCCCTGCTGCTCCGCTGCCCAGGTGAGTGTCCTGAGCCCTGGAGGGCCTGCCTTTGCTTTGGAAGGGAGGCTGCTGGGGCAGGGCCACAGGCCAGGCATGGGGTTCGGGGGTCCTCTGTCACTCAGGGGGAGGAAGGTGGCAGGACCAGGGAGCACAGCCTGCCCCAAAGTCATCTGCTCTCTCTGCTACATGAGGAGCTGTCATGGGGATGTGTTTGCAGTGTGTGCCCGAGCTGCCCCCTGCACTCAGGTGAGGGAAGCAAAGGGGCAGCAGAAGCCAAGGTGTTCCACCAGGTGTGTGGAAGCTCTTACTCTCTGCAGTCCCCAGCATTCCTTCAGCTGTGGGCTTTTACCATTTCTGGTATCCTATAGTCTTTTGGCATAGAATATGTTTGTTCTCTTATTATGTAGTTTTTTTCTGATGTTATCTTTTCCCGACCCCCAAATATATGTGTGTATATATTTCATGGCTCTTTTTAAATTATATGCATATATATCAGCTCATTTCCTTCTCCTAATGAACCTTTGTAGTTTATATATCACCCCTGACTTACAGATTAGTAAAATTTGACTAGAGAGCCCAAGCAATATGCTCAAAAACATCCGGATAGCAATGGGGTGGCAAGGAGTTGAACCCCAGGATGCTATGGCTTATTCTTTGAACACTGCAATTGTTTATGTATACAAGAGCTGGGGTACAGGCCAGAGGTGTGAGGGGTGAGAGGATTCACCAGACAAAGTGGGGCACAGAACAGGCAGATTGCCCAAAGTACACTGCTGAGGGGAGCAGCAGGCAAGTCAGGAGAGGTCTGCTGCGCCATGTGGGTTGCTCACTGGCGGGCCAGGGTATCAAACTCATGCTGCAGACGATGCGGACAGCTTCATAGGTTGCATCTTAACCCCTTGTGCCACCAGGGAGGCCCCTGCAGTTGTATTTCCCAAATGTAATGACACTACTCAGGCATCTGGAATATTCTCCCCTCCATTTCCTATGGAAAACCCTGAGTGAATTACAGTCATACACACCATATTTTTTTATCCTGAAATGCTGACAGTAAGAAGCTATTGAAAGTTTTTTCTTTTAAATACAAATAATTTCACATCACAACATGCCCCAGAACAGGTATCAATGTATAGCTGAACTACACAGCTTTGAAGCTTATCAGAAAGCAAAGACACAATCCTCATCCAAAATCTGATATTTTTTCCTCATCAAACAGAGAGGGACAGAGATAAATAAATACAGAGATGTGGGAAGTGGAAATTGAACATACTTTATAAGCCTCTTTAGTGACTGTCCTTGTCACTCTTTGAATCAATGGAGGTTTTGAACTAAAATCATCCACATAGTGAAGGAGATAGTAGAGTCTCTACTGAATGTGTCATCCAATGTGGACTGACTTCCAAAGTCATTTAATTTTTACATTCTTGAAAACATGCATCAACTCAAATCTCTCACCAGACTGGCTTGTAAACTCATCTCTGTGATGAACATGCAGCTTTGCAACCACAAGCACCGCTTCATTTAATGATCGAGTCACAAAAATGTTGTGAGTATTTAACTGCAGGTACTGTTGGGGAGTATTTAACTGCAGGTACTGTTGGGGACCACGACACTGGAGGGTATTCGGTGCCCCTGGAAAAAAGAATTTCACGAGGCACCAGAAACCGCCAGCGACAAGGTTTTTTAGGAAGCCACAGGACGAACACGCGAGAGGCAGCGGCAGTATCAGCCAAGTAGGAGAGCAGCGCAGAGCAGAAAAGCAGTAGGGTTTTTAACGTTTTTTCCTGTCTGGGTGGGAAGGGTCCCTCTGTTCCGCATCCCTTGCTCCTGTCACTCCTCCGCATTCCAGGACCAATTGGAGCCACCGGCTCCTCCCTCCCTCCTTTCCAGTTAAAGGCTTCCCAGCGCTCCCAGCCCTGCCACACCTTCTGCTGTCCCTGAAACGAGGCTGCAGCGCCGCCTAACGTGAGACTGTAGAATTGCAGCTTGCTCCGGTCGGGGAGCGCCCCATCCCCAACAGCACAGCGCTAGGTCACTCAGGTACTAGGGGGAGATGGGAGCCTCTCCCGGGGCTGTGTCCCGAAGGAAACAGGCCAGGACAACAGGATTCGAGGCCCGCAGGGAACTCACTGCCCAATCGAAGGTGATGGGTGAGGGGGCAGCAGCGAGCTCTGGGAGAGGGGAGGCTGAGGGCAGGAGCGGTAGCAGGAGTTCATGCTGCTGGAGCAGTTGACGGTGAATTAAAAAAATATTAGTGAGAAGGAGAGGAGGCCAAACTGTGGCGGAAAATAGGTTAATGACTGCCATGGAAAACCACACATGAATGTAGAAGTGAGGCAAAAGGACAGGTTGCAGCTCCCAGAGCTGCTTTCATTATGGTAGAGAAGGGGAAGGAAGAGAAAAAAATTATACAGTTTGTAAAGTGGTTGCACATCCCAATGAGAGATCTTAGTGGTGCGGTTCAGATGCTGGGGTTCAGTGAGTGGGGTTTTGGGTTCCCTCTTAGAAAGATTTGGGTACAGTTTCCATTCAGTGGCACAAGGTGAGTTGCTAAGAAAAAGACCTTGGCATAGGCTTTTTCTTTTTCATAGTCAGGCAAAGGCTGACTCTTTAAAGGGCAGGTTTATGAAAAGAGATGCCTGGGCAGGTCACAGGTGGGCAGTCTGGGACAAGTCCTGGGTTTTGTCAGAGTGACAGCTGCCTTCACATTGTGTTCCTTAGTGGAGTTTTATCTACTCTGAAATCTATTAGTTTTCAGGTCTGGGGGCACTCACCTGTAAGGCCTTTGGTTTCTTTGTAATGACTGGAAAGACTGGAGTTCAGGCTACCTGTCACCAGTGAATGACAATAAAGTAAAGACATGGAGCTCCTTATCGCCCTCCTGGCCTCAGGCTGGTCCCAGTGTGCTGAGGCTGGAAATTGAACTAGAGCAGACAGTCATAAACAATATGTGTGTACAGATTTTCTGCTGTACTAGCTCAGTGTCTCACCCAATCTTTCTCCCTCCTAGCCCCTATCACTCCACAGCTGCCTGTGCCTGCAGAGTCCCCACCACAGCCTGTGCCCACAGTCTCCTATGGCAGGCTGAAGGACATTCATCATTTCTACCCCCACCTCAAGTTTCTGACCTTGTGAAACTTCCACCTAAAGTTTTCTACTTTAAGCTTCCTTCATTAGGAAGACTTGACCTACGAGGTGGGTTCCTCTGATTGAAAAAAGTCACTAAATTTAGCAAAACTGTAAGGACAGAATCAGACTGGACTGATGTCCATAGTACCAGATGCAGAGATGGGGAAGCTTTTCTGATGATTTGAGAAGTGCTGGCAGGCAAAGTGGAGGATGAGACTAGGAAAGACAGGAGAAAAACATCACTCAGACCCAACCCACCTGGATGATCAAGAATGCAAATTTTTCAAAGAGTTAGAACCTTCTGGATGCAGGGGCTTGCACTTTTCTATACCATTTGGAGGGCAGAGGTAAGTCACCTAAGCTCCTCTGTGAAACTGCTCTCACTTAGCTTAGTACAATTTTTTGTTGACACGATCACTGTTTTTAGCCTCACATTCAAAATATATGAGGATACTTTGTGTACATACAGTGTGTATGGACTGTAGAAAGGTGAGTGGGGCACCAACATTAACCATTACTGTGAGGTAATTTACAGGGTGTGGGTAGTGAAGGAGAAGGAAGCGTCTGAGCTGAAACTCAGTTTTATAGTTTAAAAGCTACTGAGTGCTATTGCCTTGCCTTAACTACTGCCTGAGAAATATAAAGTCATGTAAACTTTACAAATGAAGGGTAGCTAGAAGGACCTTTGCAAAGGTAGGCAGAGGCACAAATGTGGCACTTATGAGTGATCTCTGGGTGTGATATTTAAATGTAATCAATAAAAGCAGGAGGAAAAGAAGAAAGAGCAAAGAATGATATCAAGGGACAGTACCATTTACATTTACATATTTCAGCATGGAAACTATGCTTATCACTATAGTGGACACAGAAAAAGTCACAGGCCTGACATGTCATTTTTACTTATTTTTGTTTCGCAAAACTTTTTCCTGTTTTGTTCATGAAGTCAGATGACTTGGTGTACCTTCATCCTGGGATTACTCTTCCTTTGTTTTATTGGACATGGAATTGTGGGCAACTTCTTTATATTATTGGGACATTTATATACTTTTGTCATGGGTCCTGAGAAGAAACCCATAGTTTTTATCCTGATCCATTTGGCTTTTGTGAATACAATCATTATTTGTACCAAAGGAAGCATAGATATAATCATATTTTTTCACCTCAGAAATTTCCTAGGTAATGCTGGTTGTAAAACTGTGATTTTCCTGGGGAGAGTGGCCCGGGGCCTCTCCATCTGCACCACCTGTCTCCTCAGCGTGGTCCAGGCCATCACTATCAGTCCCAGGACCACCTCCTGGAGAAAGCTCAAGCCAAGGTCTGCAAGGCAAGTGCTTCCCTGTCTCCTGCTCTTCTGGGTCTTCAATTTCCTCATCAGCTCTAACCTGCTCTTCTATATCACAGCCAGCCAGGACACCAACAGTTCTGCACTTAGACCTGATTTTGGACATTGTAATATGCTCGTGCCTGAGCCAATAGTGAGGTTGCTTTTCCTCACTCTGATGACTCTGCGGGATGTTGTCTTTCAGAGTCTGATGGGCTGGAGCAGCGGGTACATGGCCTTTCGCCTGTATCAGCATCATAAGTGTGTCCTTTATCTTCAGACCTCCAGGCTACAAGGAACTCCCAGTCCAGAGATGAAAGCTACTCAGAGTGTTCTCATGCTCATGACCTGCTTCCTTTTCTTTTATTGGGCAGATTTCATTTTCTCCTTCTACATTGGCTTATTCAAGGCCCAAAATTACTCAATTTTATATCTTCAAATATTTCTGACCTCTGGTTATGCCAGTTTCAGCCCCTTTGTGCTGCTGAGCAGGGATGTCAATGTGGCTAAGTGCTGGTGAGTTCAGTGTCAAGAGGGAAATCACTTTCTACACTGATTTCTTCATGAGTGAAGGGTGTGTTAGTGTGGGGGGATTTCCTTTGCTTTCATGTATTAAAGTAGCAAATTAATCAAATATTATAAGAATAGATATTTGTTGTTTTAAGAAGAGTTCTGGTAATAGGCAATCTATGGATGGTTCAAGAGTTCCAGTAAGTGGGAAAGACAGAGTCCCCCTCCACCATCCTTATCATGTGGTGTTTATATTCTTGCTTGCACAGTTATTGTTCTTTTTCCTTTACTTAATCAGCATGCTAAGCATAAAGAAAACAAGAGAAGTAAAAGGAAAAAGATTCTCTCTCTTGCCCCCTCCTTTCCTGTTCCTAGGAAAAAAAATGTTTTCATAAATCCTACCCAAGTGTCATGATCCATTTGTAAACTTATATTACTTTACTCCCTCTCAATGCAATATTGCCTGAGGAATGTTATTTTTTTTTAAACTGTGATACATTTCCAGCCTCAAGACATTGTAATCAAATAGCTAGGACAGATGAGTAAATTAAGATGATGTGGTACATTACAAGATGGAATAATATTCAGACATTTTAAAAAGATGAACTCTTGCCATTTGCCATCTGAGGAGGTGTGAACCTAAAATAAATAAAATAAAATAAAATAAAATAAAATAAACAAACAGAATGAGCTATAGTATTATCAGAGACCATACGGTGGTTACTGTGGAGGAAATGAACTGACAGAGGTCAGGAGAAGGGGCCAGGAAGATAGAGATCACAGGGTTCCAAGCACAGGGCTGCTCTGCAAGACTCTGTTTGCAGGTGCTTCTCCCTTTCCTGCCAGGGTAATGACCCCTCTTTAAGTTCCTTCACATGGCAAATGGAGACGGTCATGATGCTGCTGCCACTATAGTAAATAAATTTGTGGGCTTATGTGGGCCTGTGCAGGTACTGGGCCACAGTAATTGCTCAGGGAACTTCCACTTGATGCTCCTCTGAGGGTTGAGAGATTGTTTTTCTAGGATCCCTGGTCTCTGGTTGGCATGAGGAGCACAGTAGGTAAAAGGGGAAGGCCTTGATGAGGAGATTTCTAAAGGACTTGGACAGGGACTTACATATGGGTGGGGGGAGATTACTAAGGCAGGAGAAACAATTGGGAAATCCATTCTTTCTTTCTACTCAAATACTGATTCAGGTCAATGGCCTGGGCCTAGGCGTAGGGACCAGGATTAGTTCTTCTCCTAAGATACCAATTTCACAACATTTCTGTGGATCCCGCTAAAGGACATTGGTGCTAAAAGGGCCCTATGTCATCAGAGAACAAGTCTCTCATTTAACAGATAGGGAGACTGAGGACTCACAGAAGTTCCCTGTGAGTTGCCCAAGCTTATTCAAGTTACAAGAAAAATATAGGTTGAATTCATGATTACTGTTTGTCAGGACAGAATGAGTTCAGTCCCTCTTAACATTAAAAAATATAAATATGGTGTAGCAGACCTCTCCTGACTCCCTCGCTGCTCCCCTCAGCAGTATATTTTAGTCAATCCGCCTGTTCTATTCCCCACTCTGTCTCTGGGGAATCCTCTCCCCACCCCACCCCACCCCTGCACCTCTGGCCTGTACTCCAGTTCTTGTATGCATGAATAAATAAATCTTTTTAAAAACATATAAATAAGTGGTGCTCATTATGTAATAAATATTCACATAGCATATAATATATACCACGTAAAACCATTAATATCAGTATTTTATGTCCTAGCGGATGTAGTGCAAAAGTCAGATCCAATCTTTAGTTGTTTCTGCCACTGACTTCATATGTGACTTGGGGCAAGGCGGACAGCTAGCTAGCGTCTTTCACAAATGTAGGTCATTCGACATCTCGGTGATAGCCCCCACCAGGACCCTAAAAGTGTTCCTCCACCACGACCCTAAATAGACCCCAAGAAAACCCTAAGTTTCTTCTATGTAAAATGTGTCGGGAACTCGACATCCGTCCATTTTTCGGAAGACCTAACCCAGGTTCCTGATGGGGAGGGAAGGTCATGTGGGCGGGAAAGCAGGGGGTGAAGGGTCTCCCGGATGGATGAGTCGCGTTGGAAAACAATGCTCCAGGTGAGGATCGAACTCACAACCTCGGCATCTCTCGCACACATACTGCCGTATAAGTACCGCGCGCTAACCGATTGCGCCACTGGAGCGCTCCCGACCCACTTCCGGTCACTCGTCGCCTGATCTACGCAGACGTAGCCGGCGCCTGCCGCGGGCTGGGTGGCCCAGGGGACCCCCGTCAGCCCCGCAGCGGTACCTCCCGCGCGAAGACCGACCGGCCCAGCCGCAGACCCCGGGCCCCGCCCGCGCCGAGGGCGCTCTGCTCGCGGAAACCAAGGCGGACACTTTCAGGGGGGCCGGGAACAGTGCAGACGCCGGGGAGACGCCGAGGGGGGGGGGGGAGGGGAAGGGCCATGAACCCCCTCTCGTGGGGGTGCCCAAAGCCGTTCCCGTCCTCCCCCGCCCTCGCGTTCTCGTCTAACGGACGGGCGAGAAGCCGAGGACGCAAACCCCGGGGGAGGGGCGGGCGGCGCGGGACCGCCTTTCGGCCACTCTGTGGTCTGCGGAGGGGGGGGCGGGGGCGGGGGCGGAGGCCAGCGGTTCTTCTTCCCTCCGGCATCCTCCCTGGGGCCCGGCGCGAAAACCATCTAGCAACCGGAACAGATGCGGGATTAATCTCTGAGATTTTGTGTGGTCGCTATAATGGGTTAAGCTAGGTTTAAATATATATAGATAGCTATCTCTATATAAATATATATTTATAAATATATGAATATATCTATATATAAATCTATATATAAATCTCTATAAATATAAATTTAGATAAAATATATCTAAATATATATAATATATAAATATATCTATATGTAAAATATCTATAAAATATAAATATATCTATATAAAATATATCTATATATAGATAGATCTATGTAGATCTACAGATATATAGATAGATATAGATAGATATAGATAGATATCTAAGTAGGTTAAAGATGGAGAATGGGGAAGAAGCTTTATCTGGAAGGGGTGTGTGTGTGTGTATGTTTACCCGGTGTATTGGGGTCTTTCCTGTGTTGGGCGATGTAATTAATGGACAGTAAGAGATTTTATAGAATTAGCTGGTCTTTCTAGAACCCCAAGCATTTTCTTTTATTTCTTTTTTTAAAATTGTTATATTTGCCCGGTACATGTTCATAGGATGTGTTCCCCCCCCCCAAATCCCTGTAATGTGAGATTGAAGAATGTTGAGTCGTCTGTGAAAGTACCGTGTATATAAAGATATACAAAGAAGGAATGATAACCCCTGAAGTTTTCTTGAAACTTACAGTATTTGCCCTTCGAGGTAAACTGTCTACCTCTACACCTGTAAAGGAAAGGGCGAATGTCCAGCTGTCTTCATCAACACTGATAAAGGGGACTGCGGTACAGGAGGAAAAGTGTACTGAAGTCACCAACTCAAGAATTGTTTTTTATAGATAAATGGACCCCAAGAAAACCCCAAGTTTCTTCTTCTATGTAAAATGTGTTAGGAACTCGGCATCCCTAAGGCCTTAAGGCATCCACTGCAAATATAAAGAATTAACTTCTCTCTTAAGCATCTAAAGTGAAATTAATCGTTTATCACCCCCTGAGACGCTTGTAGCGTTTCAAGTCCTATCTGTGTTCTGTACCTCAGCGGAAGAATCTATCTTGCGAACCCCACCCCAGGTGCGCCGAAGATTCGCGCGTTCTGGGGTGATCCAGCTAAGAGAGGCTAAGAGCTGTTCTCAAAGCGCAGTCACCAGGCAGGAGCAGCATCCGCAGTATCTGCGCAGGGGCAGGCATCGTGGTTCTGTCGCAGATAAAGTTGAAAAACCACCGGGTTACACTGTGCTCACCAGAAGTGAAGGACACTCGGTCAGACCAGCCTCAACCAACGCAGCTGAGCCACTGGGGAGATCACCTGGTGGTGGACGGGAACTGCACGATGGCAAAGCATCCCACCCCCATTTCCCAGAGCATCGCCGGGGGAAACTCGGGGTGGGGAGGGTTAGGGGTCCTTCTAGGGCTCTAACACTTCAAAGGACCGGAAATATCACTATTATACCTTTAGTCCCTAAAATTATATGTTGACTAACACCTGATTGCTTCCTGAAGGCTTCGATCTTATGTTTAGTTAATTTCCTCACCATACAGTGTTTATGTGTTTGCTCTTTTGTAGTAGCTAATGAGTAAATTAGGTCCCCCCACCTTGTGTTATAACACATATATAATATTATATATAATGTATATTGAAATAGGCACTAAGAAAAATAGCTGTTTCTGTTCTCATGAAATTAAAACATTTCTAGATGGCACATTTAGACAGAGAAGCATGATGGTAGGAAAGTGGAAGCTGTTCATTCATTCACTCAACCAGTGACCTGACATGAAGTGGGCACCTCCTATGTTTATCAACAAAGACGACCGTGGAAGCTGTTAAAATTAACTGATTATCTCTGAGGGTAGGAAAAAACACATCACTGGAACACAAGAGCAGCAAAAAACAGTATTTCTAGTCCAAAAGTCCAGAAGATCCTATGGTTGGGTGAATACTGGAAAGGCATGGTTTCCATCGCTCCTGGGTGCAAGCGACTTCTGATGCAGCATTGACTCATTTGGAGAGATTTTCAAGTGGTGTTGATTATAATTGCGTTCTTTGAAAGTTGGGGACTGTTAAAGCCTTTGGGAAGATGGTATTTGATACTTTATTTTAAAGATAAATATAGGTTGCCACCTGCCTTCTTAGCGCAGTAGGCAGCGCGTCAGTCTCATAATCTGAAGGTCCTGAGTTCGAGCCTCAGAGAGGGCAGTTGCGTTTTGGTGGCTTGCTACGTAAAATTAGCAAACGCTATCAAATAAGGAGTTGAGGAAGATTTCTATATTCCCTAGCAAGGACGCAATCGTTTTTCTAGACTTCTGGGCGCCGCAACAGCGTGAG